ATGACCTCCTGGACTATCGGACTACTGGGTAATTTTGTCTAAATTGTATTGTTATATGTGAGGCTTAATGACTGGAATATGGAATCTACACGCCTGCCATCAAAGCCACACTTTCTGCAACACAGTTCCAGACATTCATGCCTTCCCATGAAAAGAACAAAATCAAAGCAAGTCCTGAGGCTTTGTTTTGAAGCAGTCACATCAGCAAAGTCCTCCTTTGCTCTTTGGCATTATCGGTCCTGGTACTGACAGCAACCAGGCTAGCAGCAGTTGAAATGGGAAACCCTAATGCTCAATGCTCTGTGCTGGACAGCTTTATGTCAATGTGACACAAACTAAAGTTATCTGAAAGGTAGTAGCTTCAACTGCCTCTGTAAGATCCAACTGTGGGGCATTTTCTTAATTAGCAATTTATGGGGGAAGGTCCAGTCCATGGTGGGTGGGGCCATCCCTGATCTGGTGGCCCTGGGTTCTAGAAGAAAGCAGGCTGAGCAAAGCATGAGGAGCAAGCCAGTGAGTGAACAGCACCCCTCCTGCCTCCAGGTTTCTGCCCTCTTTGAGTTCCCATTCAGGCTTCTTTCAATGATGAACTACAATGCCAAATAAACCCTTTTCTGCCCAACTTGCTTTTGGTCATGGTGTTTTGTTACAGCAATAGAAACCCTAACTAATACATGCTCCAATATACAAAATAAATAAAAGGGCCAAAATAAGAGGAAGCAGACAATACCATGTCCATTACAACATGGGAGATTAAAGTCCCTTGCTATTTCAGTTTTGATAGTAACAATATTTGTAGATAGCTCAGATTTCTTTTTTGTGCTTTTAAATTTTTTTTATTTATTCTACATACCAACCACAGTTGCTCCTCCCTCCCCTTCTCCCGATCCCCTCTCCCCTCTTCCCATCCCCCACTCACTCCTCAGAAAGGGTAAGGCCTCCCATGGAGAGTCAACAAGGCCTGGTACACTCAGTGAAGCAGGACTGAGCCCCTCCCCCTTGCATCAAAGCTGGGAAAGACATCCCACCATTTGGAATGGGCTCCAAAAAAGCCAACTCATGCACCAGAGATAAATCTTGGTCTCCCTGCCAGGGGCACCACAAACAGACCAGGCTACAAAACTGTCACCCAAATGCAGAGGGTCTAGTTCAGTTCCATGCAGGCTCCCCTAGCTCAGAATTCTTTTTTGTTTGTTTGTTTGTTTGTTTTGGGTTTTGTTTCTTTTTGTTTTGTTTTGGTTTGGTTTGGTTTTTTTGGTTTTTTCGTGACAGGGTTTCTCTGTGGCTTTGGAGGTTGTCCTGGAACTAGCTCTTGTAGACTAGGCTGGCCTCGAACTCACAGAGATCCGCCTGTCTCTGCCTTCCAAGTGTTGGTATTAAAGGCGTGTACCACCAATGCCCGGCTCAGCTCAGAATTCTTAAGATACTGATGTGTGTGTTTCTGCTGTGGGCATACAGAGAGAGAAGATACTGGTCTGGGGCCAGGACTTCATACAAATCTCTGTAAAAGGAGCCAATTTGTCCAAATCCAAAGCAGAGGACTTCAGAGAACACCACATGGAGGATCAAAGATTATGGATTCTGTCTATGCAAAGATAAAACAACAGGAGGTAGCTGGGCAGCCCTTCTGTGTGCCTGTGGGTGGGCCATAAACCAGACACAGTCCAGACTTCACAGTTAGGACAAACAGCCAGAAAGTCACGCAAGACAATGCAGAGAACAATGGTCTGGACAATACAGTGATGTTACAACAAAAGAAAGAGGTATGAGAATCCAGGAAGAAAAGACAGAATTTCCTCAAAATAGTATTTGAGATGGGTGTAGGGAATATGGATGCAATGTTGACAAGTGATGCTGATGGTGGAGGGGGAAAGAGGAAGCAGACAGGTTAGGGAAGGGGAAGCAGTGTACCTTCCCGTTATCCCTTGGGAGTTCCCTGGATTTCTGCTAAAAATGTTTACACCCCTACTTTAATTTCATTTGTCTACAGTTTGAAAGACCCCCAGACCCCTAAGGGGCACAGGGTCCCGAGGAGCCCCCGAGACTCAGAAACCAGACCAAGAGCTGCAAAAGCAAGAGGGTTCGTTGAACGAATGCGCATTCGGGTGTCAGCAATATTGGGAAAGCTGCACACACCAGCATGGGTTGCAAGCTCCTTATATAGGAAAAAAAAAAAGCAGCATACAGGCAAGGGACACAAAGTGATTGATTACAAAGTATGATCTCATGTTAGAGTGGTCACCCAGGTGTGACCTGCTTTTCTACAAAGGAAAAACCACAGAACGTACCCTGGAAAGTCCATGATTGTCTGTTGGCCAGCCAGGTGTGACCCAAAGAGGGTTGTCTTGGTGACTGTCCCCCCCCCCGTGCCCCCCCCTGTCTAAACCATAGGATGTGCCTGGGGTTGGGGCCAACTTCCTTGTAATGGGCCAAGGCCCGTGGGAAAACTTTTTCTCTCAGCAAACTAAAATCTTTCAAGTTAAGATGTTTTTGGCCAGAATGATTTCATTTACCAAAGAAAATAAAAATTTGGGTTTCCTGGGATGGTTAGTCTTTTGAAAATTGTATTGTGTCCACTCATTCAGACTTTAATGGAGTTGAGTTCAATGGGTAAAGTACTTGTGTGTGTGTGTGTGTGTGTGTGAGAGAGAGAGAGAGAGAGAGAGAGAGAGAGAGAGAGAGAGAGAAAGAGACAGAGAGAGAGAGACAGAGACAGAGACAGAGACAAAGACAGAGATAGAGACAAGACAGTGAGACAGAGAAAGATTGCTCTAGGTACTTTCCCCAGCTCAGTACTTTATCAAATGTTGCGAAGTCAACATTGTACATTGACATAGTAATATTTATTGCTTCCTGTATTAGCCAAACAATGACTCACTGATGTTTGACCACTTGTAATAAAGGCCATGTCTTGTGGCTGGTCAGTGGTGGCCATGCTTGACTTCTTTACGGTCCAAGCAGGATGGCCCTCAGCTGAAGGACATATTCCCAGCTGGTGCATTCATTCATTCATTCCCAAGTCTTCAAAGCCCCCCAAAAATCTCCTTGGAATTACACTTAAGAATAACATGGAACTCTTCATGGAGCCTTACAGAGGTGAGTATATGTAGACTGGGTTTTCCTGTTTCGACCACCTGCTCCCAAACAACAGGCAGCTGCTTCCCAAATAACTGGCTGGGAGACTTAATATAATTTATAAATGCTCAGCCAATAGCTCGGGCTTGTTACTACCTAACTCTTACATTTAAATTAACCCATATTTCTTACCTATGTTTTGCCTGGTGGCTCATGGATTGTTACCTCATTTTCTATACATCCTGCTTCCTCTGTGGCTGACTGGCATCTCCTCATGGAAAGAAATGCTGTCGGCCCATACTCTAGATCCCAGAACCCCACCCTTATGGAAACATCCTGTGAGGCCATTTGAAAAACCTCCACGGGTCTTTACTGAATTCGTCTTCCAAGGCAAAGCACACTGCTCAGTCTATGTGCTCTTGGATGTAAGGGGAGGCTGAGGGTGGCTGTTGGAATGGTAGGAAGAGGTGGAGAAGTATTTGTCACCACAGATGCACTAACACTACATACGTTAGCATGTTATAACATGTAGGATAGAAACAGCAATGATAAAGGGAACGATCTGGCCTTGGGTCATAGCATTCAATGCCATTCATCCTCTTGCTCTGAGCTCTGAAAGCATTGGGGTGGAGGGGTGCACCCATCATGCACAGGACAATTGAGTAAAAGAGGACACAAAGGTCTTTGGAAAACAACCTGAGCATTTCTTCCCTTCTCCAGACTGATAATCCCAAATAGCCTGGTATTGTCCATCCATTCTGCCATGCACAGGGAAAACAAAAGCAACATCCCAACTCCCAAACAACCACATTGGGAGAGGCAGCTCATTGCCATTCTCAAAATTCCCTTCTACCAGGCAAAGATTTGGTCAGTTATAAACCCATCAAGAGCAATGACTGAAGACAAATAACTGTATCTTTCACATCTAATGGCATATGGACAAATGTCCTTTCTGCATGGGCCAGGCACATTCCGAGTTGTACAGGTCATACTTAACAAGGGCTGCAGAAAACCTAAGGAGGAAAGGCTGGTGATGAGGCTTTGCCAGCAATGTCCATGGTATTCAGTAAGCACTGATCACGTGCCAGCCACCTGCCTGTGCTTGCTTTCCACAGGAAGCAGTAGAGACAAAACCTTGAATTCAAAGTCCAGCTCTGTCACTTTTGAGTTGCATGGTTTCAGATGAGCTACCTAAAGTAGTGAGAGATCTATCAGAGGCACCTACGGCGCTAACCACACCCACAGGTGCGAACATAAGCATGTAGGATTTGGTCTGGAGTCAGGGACAGGATTGGGCTCTCTTGGTTCCAGTAGGGTCACGGAGAGCAGCTGAGCTTGGATCCTCGGGAGTGCTGATCCTAGGTTATTGGTTTCTCATGTAAGTGATTTCTTCCCAATAAAATTAACCTATCTCATCCCAGTCCCATGTATTGTAATTTGTACAATCACAAGCTAATGGCTGTCTACCTCAGTTTCCTCATCTAAACGTGAAGATCAGCCATAGCACCCATTGTCAGAATTGCTATCAATGCAGTTTAAACCTTTGCATTAATGAGAAGCACTCCACAAGTCTATGTACCAATCATCACACTTCTCTGAGAATTGAATTCATTATACCAAATGCATACATGAGCATGTGCCATTTGGGGATGCTAAATAGGTTGCCACTGAGTACCAAAGAAAGGATCAAAACTAGCCAGGCTCTAAAGCTCATGATTGGTTTTCCTATGTAAAAATGTGGTCTCTCAGCATGATATCAATGCAGTCTCTTCAGGCAGCCTCCTGAAGGTTTTGGCTAAAGAAAAGGTGTTTAGTTGGGGGTGGGACAGAATATCATAGGAGGAAACCAGGAATTGCTTCTTGAAAATGTTGATTCCAGGGGATGAAATGAAGGCACATACTCAAGAAAAATATTTTTACTGCATCAATGGAACAAATGAACACTCTTTAAGTTGCACAGCTTTCAGAATGAGACCTTCAAAGCACATTTGTTAAGAATATCATACATTCACAGGAATTAATTGTGAGCAAATTTAAATTTGAATAAATCAACACCATAAAACGATCGGCAATATTTTAAGTATTTCTGTGTTGATGAAATATGTGATTTCCCAATGATCTATGGACTGCTTTTGTAAAAATTACATTATAAGCATCATGGGTAGGATTGATTTGAGCTTCAGATGTTATCAAGGCCTGAAAGACCCCTTGAGAAGCTGAAGCTGACTTTTCCGTCCCTACACTGAGGGGCGGTGGTAAGGAAGAGGCAGTGGGGCAGGCAATCCTACCACACACACGTTTTCTCAGGCGTGCACACAAGGTGAGATTCCAATATGGGGTATACAGTTCCCAAGTCATTTGTTTGAGGTTTGGGTCCATGTTTCTTTATAAACCTAATCTACATATCTAACAAAGAGAGCCACAAAGCAGCAGCCTATCAGTGCCACAGCAGAGGCTGTCATCACCACCACGATGACACTCCCAGCCATGTTGACCAGGAAGCCCAGGCCACCTCCAACCAAGATCTGAGCCAGCTGCACCATGCAGGTGAGTGCAGCACAGTCCACACCTTTGCCTCTCCCACTGTTGTCAGGGACTCCTGGGGCTCCCTGTTGCTTCTGCAAGAGAAACACAGGAACAACCTTTGATCTACAAGGCACTGTTACACAGGGTCAAGGGTCAGTTTACTTTTTCTGGGAAGAGTCCATTGGTAAAATCCTTTGTGCTTCATAGGATCTTGTTTGGAACTGACTCTGAGCTCACAAATCAAGAAAGATTTCATGTAAGAACAAATTGCATTCCAATGCAACCTGATTAGATCCCATGCCGTTTTCATGCATCACCAAACAGCATCCTTCCTTCTTTGAATTCATTTCAATCTTTTAAAAACTTAAAGGGGATTATTATCTTATAAACTATCTGAAAACAGCAGGCTGCCTTTGACCAGCAGGCCATAGTTTGCTAATTCCTAATTGGTGGACTCCAGGGAACTTCATTGATGCTGTCTTCCTCATTTGCAAGGAAGCCTTTTCCTCCAGCTTTAATGAGTATATGGTTTAAGCATGAATATGGTCAGGATGTTCTTTGTAAGAAATAAATAAATACAATGTTGCAGAAACTCAACAAAGCACCAATTCAAATCTTTTTTTTTTCTTAGTTGGTATTAATAAGGCAAGTAGTATCGGCAGCTGGGCGGTGGTGGTGCACGCCTTTAATCACAGCACTCGGGAGGCAGAGGCAGAGGCAGATGGATCTCAGTGAGGTGGTCTACAACGGGAGTTAGTTGCAGGATAGCCAGGACCATCTCACAGAGAAAACCTGTCTCTAAAAACAAATGCAAAAAAAACAAAACAAAAAGGCAAGTGGTTTCAAAAGAATGCTAAATTACTTTTAAACATATGAGAAGCAATAACCCCCTCACAGCATGGTTATTTTGTTAATATGTTAACACTTGATAGATATTTGATATTTTGCCCCAATTGGTTCATATTGCCATCTGGTGTCTCTTACATGCAAGGCCTTGTGCAAAGCTGTTTTGCAGTCAGGACTTTATTTTTTTTTATTAGCACTCACCTAGGTGCAGATATTGCACAATAATAACTCTAGCTGTCATTTTTTTGGGCCCTATTAGGCTGTTCTGGAACTCTATTTGTAGGCCAGACTGGCCTTGAACTCACTAAGATCCACAAGCCTCTGGCTCCCAAGTGTTGGGATTAAAGGCACTGTGTGTGTGTGTGTGTGTGTGTGTGTGTGTGTGTGTGTGTTCAGGTTTACTTTCTCACCTACATTATGTAGTGAATGTTATTAATCTCCCTTGATTGATAAGGGTATCTGGTGTCTGAATGTTCATTCCCTCTATTCTCAGGTAAAATGCACCTTGGGAAAGAAAAATTAATATTATCTTTTCAATAAAAATGGGGAAATATGAAAACACATTCATGTTAGTTTGATTCTCATTGTAAAATACTGAAAAGATGAACTTTAAGAACTCTAGCAAGAGTGATAACATAGCAGGTGTGGGCTGGGGATGCAGACAGAAAAATTACGGAGGGAGCAACTTCACAAGAACACTTTCGTATATTGTGATTATTGGCCCTTGTGAAACTATAACCTCTTGTAAAAGAGCTCATTTTAAGTGCTACTTGATGACTAAATGAAAAACATGGTCAGTGTCACACAGCTTCAAAGGATACAGAATTTCAATTTACTTTTCTGTGATTCCAAAGCTTATTTGAGTTTTTTTCTTTGCCTTGAGTTAGATGCAAAGGGAAGTCCATTTCCCCCAAATTCTGGTGGTTAGACAAAAGCCAGCATTCCTCAGTAACTCGTGAAGCTAGTTCCCTCATGAGTCTAGTCGTTTCCCTTACTGCAGGCAGAATGGAGGAATGGATATCTATGGTGGCTATTGGCACATCAAAGTGCATGCTAGCATCCAGGCTCCCTCAGTATCACAAATGTCTGTTATGCATTTCAGATAACATGCTCCCTTCTCACCTCCTCCCCTACCCCAAACTCCCCCAGCTCATGGACTTCCCTCTTTCCAGCTACTCCTTCTCCTTATAACCTTGATATTTCAAATATGCTCCCTTTTTGGTCTCTCTCTCTCTCTCTCCCCTCTCTCTCTCTTTCTCTCTCTCTCTGCCTTTCTGTCTCCCTCCCCCTTTCTCTACTCCCCCACACTCTTCCTCTCTCTTTCTGCTTTGCTCTTGCTTCTCTCACAGCCATGTCCAGTCTGCTGGCCATGCTCAGTTTACTAATTCATCTCTCTGTTCTGCACTCTTCCAGATGCCTGTGGCTGTTCTCTCATGTCTACAATAAAAACCTTCCCCTTAACCATACCATGGAACAGTCATGTCATAATTCTATACACTTTGGTGGCAGTACTTTTTTGAAAAGGGGAGGCTTTTCTGGTGACTGTCTTTCAGACAGTAGCTTGCTTCACCATGAAGCAGCCATTTCAATGGTGTCTTTATTGCACTCCTCAGATACAGCCAGGAAGATTGCTTAAGGTCTGAATTGTGGTCTGAATTCCAAGCCATAGGTAGGTAGTGCCTCTCCAGGAAGCAAGGTAAGAATCAAGTCACAGCTTCAACCCATAACCCCAAAAGATGCCAACAAGCTCCTATGCAGTGCATGGAACAGGGAAGGCATTGTGGGCATCTAGAAATGCTGATGTGAACTGGGAAGCCCCATAGGGTGGTTGCAGAAGAGTTTGGTCTCTCCATTCCTTTGTCTCCGTCTGATCGTGGACTGGTTTTTCAATATCACTAAGACTACCTTCTTTAATCAGATAATTGGGAGTCACTATCATTGTCCTAAAACTCAAAAGATGTACCAAGGTTCACAGCAAGGAGGAGGAGGGAAGAACTCACCTAGGCTGGTAGTCAAGTCTGCATGGTGATAATTGTTTTCCCACTCTTCTGCAAAATTCCTCCCTTCCCCCATCCTTCAGATGAATTCCCTTTGTTACTCACCTCCTTTTCCTCCTCACGGTGGTACTCAGCAATGAGGTTAAAGGGCACAGTGTACAATGTGCTGGACATCACACCAAACATAGAACAGAGGACCAGGGTAGAGTAGACATTCGGGAAGAGTCCTATGAATCCTGTGCCCAGGCCAAAGAGCAAATATCCCATGAAATAAAGGCCTTTTAATCCAATGTAGGAAACCAAAGCTTTCTGAAAGTCTGTCGAGAGAATAAATGGAAAGAAATTACAGCTGGCAGGTGCCTCACAATATCTAATAATTTCAGATAATCCTTTCTTTTGAAGATACATTTTTTTAGACAGCATCCTTTGATACTGAGTCAGGAACAAAACACTTCTTTATCTGTGTGTGAGAAACATCTGGATTTGGGGATCAGTTTTAAATCCTTTGCATAAAAGACAGCATAAAATTGCCTTGCTGATTTTATTGTCCATGGAGGAGAACCAGGTACTTCATAGCAGCTAGCCAAATATAAAAAGAACATAAAAAAGAAGAGAAAAAAAAAAAACCCGTGGGGATGGGATCCTGAGGACAAAAGATACAGAGGAAGAGTCTCTGTTCTGATGAGAGAAGTGTGGCCCAAGAGGACCCAACGGACAGTGTATGCTTATCCTGACCTCACTAGCCAAAGTCAGGCTGGAGATATTAAAACAACCAGGTATTGCAGAATGATACAAATTTTTCTTAGTTTCTTAGCCGCAACTTGAAGGCAGTCTGTACAGGTAAGAAAGATGTGATATTCTCTGCAGACATTTTCCCTGTCTTGTCAATCATACAAAGGCTGTGAAGGGGTTCCCACAGTTCCCCCATGGCTTCCTCCTTTATGGAGACAAGTTTTTTAACTGATCATCATCTTAGCTTTCTTACATAGATAATGGAAATAAAATGCAGTTCTTTGTAGTGGCCGTTGCTAGTCAGAATCAAATGAGGTGAAATATATGAAAAAATCACCCAGTCCACTACAGGACACATATACCACTTAGTGTGACTATTGCTATTTTACCAACTTCAAGGTGGCCTGCAAATAACTGACTTTGAACTTGGTTCTTGGCATATACTTTGCACACACAAAGATAACAAATACAGAGGCAGAGTGATCACTCCTCTCATTTAGTCTATTGCATCATGTCAACCAAAAAATAAATGATAGACGCTTGAGATGCACCTATTAAGAATGAAATGTTGCTTAGCCACTGGAATTATTATTAGACTTATACTTCATGGATAAGAAACAAAATCTGTATTATACTTGAACCAATTAAAAAACAAAAGACTGTCTGGGGTCATTGGATGGAAGACAAGCTGTAGAAATGACAAGCAGACATTACTTCCCCTATCAAATGTCTTCCATGTCTAGAGTGCTGTTGCTAAGGCTTGAGAATAGAAGCAGTACAAAACTAGGTCAATAATAGTAATAATAATATAATACAATAAAATAATATAATAATCATTTGTAATAATCCTTGACAATCCGGTTAGTTTAATTATATATATATATATATATATTTGCTAAATCATCTATGAAATGTACAAAACACCTATGAAATAGCTAGTGGTCTTGCTCCAGCAGAACATGAAGCTTCTGGAATTCATCCACTCAATAGCTCACCATCTTACCCCCAAAATTCCCTTTTATTTTTTTGAAAAAAATATTTCCCCAAAACCCACTGATTACAAGCACAATTCAAGGGCAATGACTCCTACAATTGACTATGAAAAATGACACTTCATAAGATGATCTCTAAAGGAAGAGTTTTTTTCCAGAGTTCCTAAACATTATCAAGAATCTAAGATTCTAAAGAAAAGAAAACAGATTTTGAAGTATAAAATCTGGGTCCCACTACTAGCCTGACTCTCTTAGGAAAAGAATACTTACAAGAATAAAGTGAAGAAAACAGAGAGTTGATGCACAAGCCCCAACATCCAACTTCAACTCCTCTTTCATAGATGAGAAATTCTGTGGAATTGTGTGAACTGTAGGGATCCCCATGGTACACAATCTGAAAGAGAGGGCCCAGCGGTTGAGTAACTAGTGCAGTGCTTCTCAACTCTTGGGGAAAGGGACCCTTCCTAGGGCATAGAATTCAATCAGGCATCACCAGGTCATTCCATTCATGTATTGTGCCTCCTTCAAGGACCTTCATTAAGTATATCTAAATAACACTCCTCCAGGTGATCTTTAATGGTCCCCCTCATCCTAACATCTAGCCCACCTGACTTAGTACCATTCCCTAGTACAGCTAACAGACTTCCAACTCGCCTCTGCCCACACCATTTCTATTCCCACTCAGAATTCTTTCTTGCCCTCTTGTGTCTCTGAAACTCTCAGTCAGCCTTAAGGTAGGGATCGTGTCACACACCTCTTTCATGAAGCTTGACATGACCTCTGAAGATAATATCTACTCTTGCCTATTTGTTGTATTTGATCACATAGTGGTAGATCTCTGAGTAGTTTTACACAGTGTAGCATCTACTTCTAGAACATATCTATAAACCAGTTTCTTAAAGGCGCTCTTTGCTATACCTATTCCAAAGGCCAGACAGAAGCAGCTCCCAGTGAGTGTGTGAACATCATGCATTCATTACCTGTCCCATGAAATCTGTGAAGAAGAGCATGTTTGACAGGAAGGCAGTCCATCCAATGAGGTGGCTAATGCAAAGGCAGCGATAATGGGAAGGCATGTTCACTAATGCCCTCAGAAGTGACTTCATCGACATTGCCCTCTGTCTCTGGAAAAAAGCACAGTCTTCAGTGTCAGTGCCCAGCCAGGAGCAGGAGTCAGAGAAACAGCCATGCTACATCTCTGTCACTTGTCTATCATGACATCACATGTAGGTTTCCATGGGACAAACCATTGATAACGTGCTGTTAAAAATAAATAACTACTTAGTGGTTCCATAAATAACTTTCATACTCTAAAGGTGGACAGTTTGGAATAGAGCTACACTCAGTCCAAGATGTAAGAGACAGCTAACACTGTCTTTAAATGGTATTCCTGCAAGAGGACAAAGCCCACAGGGCTAAACAATCCCTTAGATAACTATTGTTCTTAGAGCATGGTAGGCCAATTCAAGATGGAGTTCATGATCTCTTGTCTTGATGGCACCCAAGATTATGTTTTGTTACATATAAAAATTAATCTGGAAAATACAATTAAAGTTACTAGTTAGTGAACCTGAAGGGAATTAACAGGATGGCTACCTGGTTAATACTAGTCGAATCACACAAGCCCTTAGAAACCAGAGGGCTTTCCTTTTTCAACTGGGGGCAGAAGCAGAATTTAGAGCATCCTGAAGCGTGAGGGTTGAAAACAGAAAGGGCCACATTGAAAGTGACTGAAAGTAGTCCTTCAAAAACTCAGAGCAGCTCCTGCCCAGTAATCCACAACAAAACAGGGAGCTTACTCTCACACCACAAGGAACTGGGTTCCACCAATGACCAGAATGAGCTTGAAGACAGGATCTGTCCAGTTGAACCTCCAGATGAGAACACAGCACTGTTGATGTCATGATTGCAGGGATGTAGGACCCTGAACAGAGAACCCACTGGAGGCCCCCAACACTTCTGACCCAACACTTTGTAAAGATGTGAGATGATTGATGGATGTTGTTTTAAGCTGCTACATTTGTAGTAGTGATATTTTAAGAAACTAACACAGAGAGCTAGCCGGCTCCCTGTCCTTAGTGGTAGGTTCCTGCTCTAAGGTCACATCTCCAACTCTTGCCAATGATGGGTAAGTGAGCTTTGTGTTGAGTTAAAATGTGAACAGAGAAAACCCACATCTAAAAGATGAATACTCATGCCCCAGATTCCTCAGTGTAGACTTATACATTAACAGCAAGGGCTGCAATTATTACTACTATGACTATTCCTATTATTATTTGGTTTCAGCAAGCTTGAGAGAGCTAGAATTGATACAACTGAAGATAGAAAAAGTCTTTAACATCTTGTCATATAAGGGAAGAAAGAATCAAGCGGTCAGTCTCCCTAAGGATAATGAAAATATGAATGTCAGCTGAGGTGGGTTGATGGTTCTTTTTTCTTGGAATTTTTAAAATTCAGAGTCTTGACAAAATGAAATTGGGACCCAATTAGCAGAGTTATCAGACAATCTCCTGACATGGTTTACTTTCATTATGATACATATTGTCTTATAACTCTTTTTATCATCTATTGTCATATAGTACTTTATTATTGAATAATTTTCTTCACATAATTAGAAATGTGAGGAAAGAATAAATTTATGATGAGAGATAACCACTCACTCTGTTATATTAAACATCATATTCCTGGTATTTTTTACTGCAAGTTATTTTCTGCATGTGAGACTTCGTTCATGCCTTGTTCTGTTTTGTAACTCTAAAAAATAATTTTTTATTTTATGTGCATTGGTGTGAGAGTGTCAGATTCCCTGGAACTGGAGTTGCAGACAGTTGTGAGTTGCCATGTAGGTGCTGGGAATTGAACCCAGGTTCTCTAGAAGAGCAGACAGTGCTCTTAACCACAGAGCCAGTCATCTCTCCCCAGCCTCCTTGTTTTATAATTCTTCAATTATCTGATACTTTTTTTTACTTCTTTGTTGAAGATATTAGATTTAACAATTCTAGGCTCATTTTATAATTGATACTTGCAATTTCATCATTCTTATTTCTGTTTTGTGTTTTGAGACAGGATCTCGTATATCTCAGGCTGGCCTTGAATTTGACATGTCCATGAGGGTGAGGAAATGACCGTGAACTTCCAGGCTTCTTCTTTTATTTATTTATTTATTTATTTATTTATTTATTTATTTATTATAATAAATATTATTTATATTTATTTTTGTTTTTTTTCGAAGCAGGGTTTCTCTGTGTAGCTTTGGAGCCTATCTTGGCACTCGCTCTGGAGACCAGGCTGGCCTTGAACTCACAGAGATCTGCCTGCCCCTGCTTCTCAAGTGCTGGGATTAAAAGTGAATTCCCAATCTTCTTGCCTTCACCTTGTAAGTGCTGGGATTACAGACATGTACCATCACACC